TTTCTCTCTTTCTCTCCCTCTTTCTCATTTTGAGTTTATATATACACAAATAGTACAAACTCCAAGAAAATTTGAAATGTGAACTCACCTCCTCCTACACATTTTAGGTAAGGGATATTTAATCCCTATTTCTGTGTATTTGACATTTTAGAAGATGACAATAGCAATAGTAAAAACATACTTTGTTTATAGATTTTTGTATAATACCCAAGTAACCAGGATATTTTAGGATGAGGATAATATTTCAAAATAGATCAACAGTTAATGTTTTAAATAAAGGTAATAATAAACATTTTGAATTTAGGATATTTTACTTAATTACTTATTTAAAATTGTATGTTCCTACCACTGGTTCCTTCTACTGGTTTTACTCCAGGTAGTGAAGACATAGGTGAACTGGAAAAAACTCAGCTCTGTAAAAAGAAAAAGAAGAACCTTTTAAACAAATTCTAACTTCATTGTCTTTGTGTAGCTTGGTTTCCCTAAAGTATTTTGTAAAGGAGATACATAGGAGATACATATAGGAATAATATCAAGTGAAGTTTTATTTACAAAAATGCTATTAAATTCCTCGAGGAGATAAAACAGCCTTGATGCAATAATATTTTTTCTTGTTTTCTTGATTTACTATTCTTTAGCCCTGTGTTTTCCCATTTGCTTTTCAAAATTGTTAAGAGACAGATATATTTCCTGGACGACTTTATCTTACCAAGAAAAAAAAATGGCAATGTTATTATTGAAAGACTAGTTATTTTGTTTTTTTTTTTTTAATTGTGAGAATACTGTACAGAGGAGTTACAATTACATGGGCAAGATAACGAGTACATTTCTTATCAAGCATTGTTGCCTTCTCGTTGTTTCCCCTTCCCATCCCTTCCCATACTCTTCCCCTTTCCCACCCAATCCTCCCCGCACCCTCCACCAAAGTTGTTAAGTTCGTTTTTGACATGACGATTTGTACATCCCATTGTTGCAATGGGTCCACCTGTATCCTTAGTTAAATGATTTATTTTTTTCCCTTCCCCTCCATAAATTGTACCAATATCAAATACAGTGAAAGTATGGGTTATACTGTGGAGGAGGGACATACAAAGCATATAGAAATCATCTTATAAATATAATAGAAACAATTGCATGAAAGGAACAAAACAAAAAACTTGAATACTTATCTTGGAGTTCATTCCCCTAATATCAACTTATCTGACCTTTTCTGCTTGGCTCAGACATATACTAGTTATTGCAAATAAGGGAAACCATGGGACCTATGTTTCTTTACACCTTGCTTACTTCACTTAATATAATTTTTTCCAAGCCTTTCCATTTCCTAACAAATGGGGCAATGTCATTCTTTCTGATGGAGGCATAGAATTCCGTTGTGCATATATACCACATATTCTTGATCCCTTCATCTACTGAGGGGCATCTGGGTTGGTTCCATATCTTAGCTATGGTAAATAATGTTGCATTATTTACCATAGCTAAGATATGGAACCAGTTTTCTTTTAGTTGTATATAAAGTCATTACTAGATCATTATTTCTTTTTCTAAGGCATGTAACTCTCGTCCTTAACTCTAAATAGAATTTGTAGACATAGCATATTCTTTTAAAAGAAGTTTGTTTTAATATCAAATTAGACTGATGCGATTATCTGAAGATTGACAACAATGGTCGTATACATTTCTAGTGATCTTCTCAGAGGAAAGGTCTTCCCTTCTCTGAAGGGGAAGGTCTCACACTTGCCACTTCAGCACCTTCAGTTTTCTGTGCTATCTTGTTCTCCACAGACCTCTATGTTGTCTCCAAACCCTCATGATTTCCCCCTTTCTCCAGCCCTTCCTGTAAATTATGACTGTCCCTAGAATTCTTTTTTCTATATTATTTTGCTTTCTGATAATTTAGTCTGGAACTTCCTATGTATCCCTGGCTGGTGTGAAATTCACAATCCTCCTGCTTGTGCCTACCTAGTGTCTTGCTCTGGGATTACAGAGGTATGCAATTACCCCTGGCTCCATTTTCTCCACTTGTTACAATGGAGTCTCTGCTTTGTAAGCATAACTGCTTTCCAGGAGGAGTACAAAATATTTGCCAAATTCCTCACCTGAAGTGAATTGCTTGGCATGTTGGCATCAGTACATACCCTTATGTAACACCTAAAATATTACCTCCCCACTGAACTGGATTCAATTAGGGATTAAATATTGTAACTTATTTCAAATAAATAGTAATTGTTTGCTTAAACAATAATGATAATGATACAGGGAGTACTTCTGAGGAGAGGTATATTATGAAAAATTTATAGCTACCTATCTATTTATAGTTAATACTGATGATTCATTGAAAATACGATTTTTAACCATGCTTAACAACTGGCTCCCAAACATTCTGAAAAACTTGAAAATGGACATTTGTGAGCTAACATAATCTGATCTGGTTCACAACTGAAGATCAAAAAAAAAAAACAACCAAACTAAGAAAATAAAGCCCAGCCATGATACTTTAAATGACTATAAAAACCCCATTGTTTACGGGTAACTTAAACATTTCCATATTGTTGTATACATAGCTATTATCTTTTATTTTTTTGATAAATACCACATTGATAAACATAAAAAAGAAAAGAAATGTGTACTTAAGTATTTAATGATTTTTGAAAAATAGACATTTAGTCTAGGTGTTTGTATGATAGGTGTTTAGGTGTTTGTATATGTCCTAGGACTCTGTTATTTATGAATATGAAAATAAAAAGGAGTGATCAAAGTCATTGATGCTAGAAAAAAATAACAAAATTAAATATGATTTAACATATTTATCCATTTCATCATTTTGTCATATTAATATATTTTGCTTTAGGCTGAAAATATTAGAAGTAACTTAATTTTTTTATTTTTGGTATTGGGATTTTGAAGTCAGGGTCTTGGAAGCATTTATTTCATGTGGAATTAATTTTATCTGAATTTATATATCTAACATTACAAACAAAAACCAACTGTTAAAGTTGGTTTATTATTCAACATTTTATTCAAACTATCATTGGATCACTAAAATCACAACTTCATAGTCTTATCTTAAATATTTTATATTATAGAAAAATGTCTTAACTTTGTATTTATTACATGCAAGTTTGACCAAGCACAGTGAGAAATTATTAAAATTTTAAAATATCAAAAGAAATATTGAAAAGACAATCTTCATTTCCCAAGAACAGGATTTGACTTGGAGAAGACCTCTCTGTCCACATTATTATTAGATGTGCTTATAGTGCTCCAAAAGAAAGATCAATGTTCTTTACTTAAGTAATAAAGTGAGCATTTAGGTTTTCTTGTCTTTAACCAAAGTTGACCAGTGCTATCGGAGAAAGGAATCAAACATTACTAGTCCAGTATTAACCTATGGGCAATTTTAGCATTCACAATTTGCTTCAATTGCTTTTCTCCTTAGAAACATACACCTGCAGATACCAAAAGTCTTCTGTATTTTAAGCGATCAATTCCATATTAACTTTTGTAAATAAAATTTACTGTTATTACTGTTGAGATTATTTTTGTTGTTTTTTTAAATGAGGTGTTACTGTGTCACCTAGAATGTTGTTTCAAGTCTCGTGAGAGATAAGATCACAATAATGCATCACTGTAACTGGTACCATAGGAATTTTTAATTTGATACACATATGAAAATCAATCTAAGAAAAATAAAAAACAATCACTGTCCTACATAAACATCACATTTTCTAAAAACTAATTTCTGTGCTCAGTATGTAGATGTTATGTTGAAAATTGTATAAAATAATTTTATTTTAGAAAATCCATTGAATTTTCCCTTCCCATGTTTATAAATTATATGACAGTAAATGGCACATTTGGTTTCTGAAATTAGGTTGCAATCTAACCTTACCAAGAAATACCAGATTGGTACCTTTAAAACTGATTTCTCCTTATGTCATTATCAGAAAAATATAGTGATCATAATAGACTATATTTCTGTGTTCTTTTAGAATTCAATTTTATCCTAAGTAACTGAAATACAGTTTAAATAATGAATAATTTCTGAATAACAAATTTAACTAGGTAAACAACTCTAATTTAACTTTATCTACATAGGTTTGTGTTAGTACACTGATATTTTTATTGAAACATTGATACTAAGCACTTTATTCCTGTGGTTTTAGGGAGAGGTACAGAAAAGCCTTCTGATAAATTTGACCTCTGACTGTCACAAAATATGAATGAAACCTAATACAAGAGCTTAGAGCTGAGTGGATTAGTTGTTTTATAAAACACTGTCTACAGAGCTAACTGCCCAGAATATCTTGAGAGACGAGTTTCTTTTGGGATTGGGAAACCTCTCTGGAAATAACAAATTTCTTATAGATCAAACAATCAATTAAATAGCTCTCATAAGCAACATTGATTATAATGACTTGAGGGTGTTTGTGACATCTTAATTAGACAAGAATAAGTATTGAGCATTTTCTGGACATTATTTTAAATTACCTTATTCTTTATTAAAAAGAGTCATGAGTCTTATTTTTAATGTTTTCTTTCTCCCCCTCCCTCCCTCTTGTATTTTCTTCTTTTTACTCCTTTCTTTCCTTTCTACTTCCCTACTGCCCTTCCTCTACTCCTTCTTGTCTTCCTGCCTTCATTCTCTCTTCTCCTTCCTTGCCTCCCTTCCTTTTCCTTCCATTTTTCCTTATTTCTTTCCATTCCTTTTCCTTCCTCTTTCCTTCCCTTCCTCTTCCCTTCCCACTTTCTTTTTTCTTCTTTCTTCATTCCATCTTTCCCTCCCTTTTCTCCTTCCTTCCTTTCTTTCTTATTTTCCTTCCTTCTTTCACTCCCTTTCCTCCATTTTCTTCCCCTTCCTTCGTTACTTCCTTTCTTCCTCCATCCCCTCCTTCCTTCTCTCCTTTCTTGGTCCTTGCCTTCCTTCTGCCTTTCCCTCTTCCCTTCCATACTACATTCCACCTCTCTATCTCTTTTTTCCATTCTTGCTTTCTTTTCAGATGACACGAGAACAATATATCCTAGCAACACAACAAAACAACCTACCCAGAACCGAAAATGCACAACTTTATCCAGTGGGAATTTATGGATGGCGAAAGAGGTGCTTATACTTCTTTGTCCTTCTGCTGTTGGTTACCATGATAGTTAACTTAGCCATGACAATATGGATTTTGAAAGTTATGAATTTCACTGTGGTAAGTACCACCATGATTTTACATCTATTCGCTTTGGGTTCAGAGAATATCCACCTGTTCTTTTTAACATTTCAACTCAAATTTGATCATTACAATCTTTATCAATATGTGTCTTTAAATTTCCCAAAGAATTGTATTTTATTTTATGGTGAAATTTTATATGTTCAGCCATGACACACATGATATTACTACCTATTATTTAGGATGGAAGTTTACATTGATATAGCACAGCACTTTGATTCATTAGAAATGTAGAAGTTAATTAACCGGTAATCATCAGTCAGTGGTTGTTATAGCTGTAATTCTAAGAAATGACTTTTAAAAGATATTTCACATTAAAATTAATATTATAAATTACAAGAGACTTTGAGTTTTCCCATATAGATTACAACCACTTTAATGGTACTCACTTTATATATAATGTACTACATGATGGAATTTAAACTCCATGTCTTTTCTTGGGTTGCACCGATCAATAGCTATAACCATTGCTTCATGATACTACTATTCTTCCAGACCCCATATTAGTCAAGAGAAGATGAACCAAAGTCAATTTTATCAAAATAAATAATAGCAAAATGATACTGTAAATTATTGATGAATTTGGCTTCTGTCTATTGAATATGTGCAATAAACTTATAAACATGTCTTACTAGCAAAACCTCATTGTTTACTCACCATTTAGCTCCTTTTACATTTCTCCTTAATTGTTTTGCCTCTTCTAGTTTAGCCATTCTTCTGGTTTTCACTTGGATGCCATAGATAAAGTCATAGTCGGGCAGGTGTCTCTCACATGCTGGTCACAATGTTACTATTGTTCATTATCCACGGCATCCTCAGGAAGGATCCAAAGCTGGCTACTAAATTTCACAGATATTACTCTATTGGTCTTTTTTAAAAACTCTGCTGAGTATTGATTTAGCAACGATAGTTTATTTCAGAATTTAGTATGCCTACTTCTAACTTGAGATAAAGTATGAACAGGAGAATTGAGTCCAGTATATTGTTCCATTACAGGGCACTACACAAACGATGTCCATAAAGAACCTGAGAGCACCAGAATCAGACACTATGTTGAAAATGAACTTTACAACTTCAGGAGCTGGGGGTAGGGGAGGGAGGAGTAGGTGGGGAAGAAAGGGATCATAGGGAAAAAAACAAAAGAGGGGGTAACAATGCTGGATAGGAAATGTACTCACTACCTTACTCATGCAACTGTAACCCTTGTGTGCAGTAGCTTTACAATAAAATTTTTTTTTCAAAAGAACCGAGAGGGCATGTAGCTTGTCCTTCCATAGAGAAAAATCTGTCAATTGCAATAAAATAACATACTCAAGGGGAAAAAATGAGCTGAATTGTTTCCACCTTTCCTAATACAGTACAAATCTTGGAAGGTGTTTGTAAAGATTAATACAGAAAAAGAAGAGCAGGAGACTGTATATTCTGAAGTTTAGAAAAACATAATCATGGTCTATAGATAGATGTGGTAACAGGCTCATAGCTAAAGACAGATGAGACTATGATGTCTCGAGGTGGAGCTGGGATGTAGCAGGTAAATTATTGCTGAGAAGGCTACAATGCTTGATAAGAAATGGACTCATTATCTTGCCCATGTATTTGTAACCCCTCTGTACAGTATTTTCACAATAAAAAAAATAACTGTCAAAAGTAAAAAAATAAAAAAATAAAAACCCCATGCAGCCAGGTGCTGATGTAGGCTGAGATCTGAGGACCGTGGTTCAAAGCCATCCCGTGGAGGAAAGCTGTGAGACTCTTATCTCCAATTAGCCACAAAAAAAACCAGAAGTGGTTGTAGAGCACTAGCCTTGAGCTGAAAAGCTCAGAGACAATGCCAAGGCCCCCAAGAACAACCAAAAACAACAACAACAACAAAGAAAACAATCCCATGCAAATGCATGAGAAACCTCTTTTGTTCAAGAAATTGTTGACTGCATGTCCACTCTCATTCAGGAATTGCTTGGCTCTCCACTGGGCCCTCCATTCTGAATACTATGTCTATAGTATGTCTATTTTCCTTCATTACTTCAATGGTTCATTTAACACGTAGTGGAGGCAGACCTCATCCATCTGATAATTTTTTTTTTGCCACCTAAACTAGCACTTGCTGACAGCTGCTTTCTCAACTTCATTTGTTACTAAACAAATGTATAAATGAAACAAAAGACACAGAAGAAAGAAAAGTTTGCACAAACATGTTTAAATTTGAATGATTTCTTCTTCTGTCCAAAGACATTGTTTAACTCATCAAATTGGACACCACTCTCTCACTCCAGAAAGCTTTATTTGTATCCAGGGACCAAGATGTGGGAATGTTCAAGTTCAAGCTTGCAAGTTGTTCAAGCATATTTAAATTAATTAAGAAAATATACTAAGCACATAATTACATCACTGCATGACTCACACTCTAGGTGCCTTCCCCATGCTGAAGCCAAGGCCAGCTGAGCCACGGATGAGAAATAATTGAAGCTTTGCCTGTGTTCTCAGGGTTTTTATCACCCATTGAGCTATCTAATTTCAACCTCAGCTGGCCAAAATACAAATGTTAAGTCTTAGCGATAATGAAAAGGTATTGTTTCCATAGGAGTCCTGGTAGTCTTTGCATATTTCACTTGTGATAGTTTTTTTTTTTTAATTTTAAGATCATAACTTACTTTCTTATTATCAAAAGGAAAATTATATTTCCTTCAATCATGAAAAAACATTTTCATGTAACTAGAGTAAATGGAGAGATGATGCAATTATTGGATAACAATAATTGTATAATGTATTCCAATGTAGTCATTCATAATTGTCCAAAGCAATACAGTATTAAATAATTAGTTACACATTATTGAAGTTCTGAATACCACAGATTAAGTTGTTCATACTTGAAAAGTGTAAAATAATTTGTAATCCTCTTACATAAGAACAGAAAAAAAATCAGTTTTACATGTTCACTAGTCCGTTATGTTTGGATCTATCTCAAGAGTGAGTACCAAAGACCAGTTGCCACTCTCTAGCAAGAAGCAGAAAATGATGTGTGAATTGTTTGGGTAATACTATTGATCCGCACAAAATGTATTTTACTTTCATTAGAACTGTTGCCATCCAACACATCAAAATATGTGGTTGTTAACATCTTTTATTTGCTGAAACTGAGCATGTTATTGTCATCAAAATATTGTATTTTCAGCATGGCACAGATAGCTGCTGGCCTGTTTTCTGATTCTGCTTAAAGTCCAGCATTAAGGCAAGACTCTGTGATCAAGAGGGCTGATATGTCCTTATTAGCTTCTGTTTCTCATTTTGTGGAAAATAAAAACATTCTTCCTATTGAGATACCCAGTTGCAAAGAACCAAAGAAAAGGAAATGAGTTCATACTACATGGTGAAAGCCAGGATAGATATAAATAATAATTTCCTGGCTATGAGTTGATAAATACAAGAATAAGTTGAAGATGGTGAGTTTGAAATTTCATTCTCCCAAGATCAATAGGACTCAACTACTTGGTGCTTTGTTGTTGTTGTGTTGATTATCCTAAAATTTTTGTGGCTTAATACAAATGGATTAAACTAAAATGAGAGCTAAACTGGCTCAGGTCTTACAGTCTCAGCTACTTAGGAGGTTGAGATGTTGGGATCATAGGTGAAGGCCAGCCTAGGGAGAAAATAAACAAGTGAGACCTGTTCTTGATGAAGAGCCTGATATCCCAGCTACATGGAACTCTAACATAGTTAAAACATATCCAGGTATGTGCCTAGAAGGAAGTGAGCTGTGGTCTGAAAAATAATAAGCAGAAATCATGGCTGAAGGAGAGTATGTGGAGCAGCAGTAAGATTACCTGCCTAGCAATCAGAAAGTCCTGACTTGACCCTGCCTGGCCTCCAATAATGGACTAGCCTAGTAACACTATCAAATACAGACCTTCTCCTTAGGGACTACCCTTTCTAGGATTCAAATCTCATTGTAAATTAATTAGCTCTACACATTTATCCAGCAAGTTCTTATATTTATCAAATGAATTTATGGTACCTAGTATCTACAGATATTTATCAGTTTTAAGTAACCATCATCATCATAGTTTCTATATATTTATTTAGCAGTTCTGAAGTTTGAACCAAGGCCTTCAAAACTTTAGACTTTCATGCGACCACATGAGTTATGCTTCTTATCCTCTTTATGTTTTATTCAATACATTTTCATCTATATGAACAATGAAAGCAGGGTATACAAATTTGATAAACTAAATAAGTTATGAGAGTTACTAGAGAATTGCAGGACACAAAAGAGACAAACATAACTAGGGAATTAGAAATGTTATTTCAATATTTTTGATTAACATCCACTATGAAATCAATAATCAAGTGAAAATAATAATGATTCACTGTGATCTGAGAGCAAAAGGAAAAGAAATAGGCAACATGATCAAGAAAAATAAAACATTATAGCCGGTGCCTGTGGCTTACACAGATCTGAAGATCACAGTTCGAAGTCAGCCCAGACAGGAAAGTCCCTCAGACTCTTCTGTTTTGATTATTGTTATTGTACAGAGGGGTTACAGTTAAATAAGTCAGGTAATGAGTACATTTCTTTTTGGGCAGTGTTGCCTCTTCCCTTGTTTTCTCCTTGTTTTTCCCTCCCCCAAATCTCCTCACACCAGTTGCATAGTTCATTTTCACCGTAGTGTCTAGTGAGTAAAAGTCTCCAATAAAGTCTTGCTGTTTTCTCCAGGTTGTATAGGACCACCTTCCTCCTATTTAGACTTTCAGTGTTGCTGAAATGATAAGAGAGTACCACGTTTCCTGCTTCTTATTGGATAAGAATGAGAAAAAAATCTCCTGAATTTTTTTTCTTTCTTCTTTTTTGTTAGGGCTGTCCTCCAGTAGTGATCCATTTGGTCAGCATCTTTCCATGGATAGGATTGTAGGTGTGAGCCACTATATTTAATTCCATATCTTTCACTAGGGCTCAGTTTATGCACAAAATGTTGATTACATAT